GGCTGGGCTCCTACTCAGAGGGACCTGGACAGGCTGGAGAAATGCACTGTGCAGTAAAATGGCTGTACACATTTGGAGCACTGTAAAACCACAAGAGGCTTTGACTATCTCCCAAGGTAGCAACAGAGTGCTTAAGACAAGCCTTATGAGACAGCTCCACTAGGTTATGCAAGTTCTTACTTACAGTAACCCTGTGTGACAAGACAGGCTGTACACTCATCAGATACAGGACAGCTTCTACAGAAAAGTACCTGGAGATCCCAGCAGGCAAAAAGTTGAAAACGAGTCAGCAGTGTACTGTTGCAGGAAAGAAAGCCAAGCATACCCAGGGCTGTGTTAGCAGGAGCCTAGCCAGCAGGTCCAGGGAAGTGATCCATCCCCTCTATTCAGCACCTGTGAGACTGCGTTTTGGAGTACTGGGTGCAGTTTTGGGCTCCCCAGTAGAAGACAGACGTTGACACACTGGAGCAAGATCAGTGGAAGCCACCAAGCTGGTCAGATGTTGGGAGCACATGACGTACAATGAGAGGTTAAGGGAACTGGGTTTGGTTCAGGCTGGAGAAGAAAATGTGCAGAGGAGAATCTTACTGCTGTCTACAACTGCATCAGAGGGCTTGGAGAAGATGGAGGCAGGCTTTTGTCAGAGATGCACAATAACAGGCTGAGAGGCAACAGGCACCAGACACAAGTTGGAACCTGGGAAATGCTTGTTGGATAAAAGGATGGTTTTGGTGAATTGGTTGGTTGGTTGGTTTGTTTTTAAACCATGAGCATGGTCAAGTAGTGGAACATGTTGTTCAGAGAGATTGTACAGTCTCCTTTCTTAAAGGTGTTCAAGATTACCCTGCCACTCAGGTCCCTGAGTGATCTGATCTAACTAGGGCTGCTTGGAGTACGAGGTCGGACTAGATGATCTCCAGAGGTCTCTTCCAGCCCAAGGTATTTTATGATTCTGTGCTGATGCCATGCAGAGTGATGCTTGCTGTGGAAGTGCAATCCTTCAAGCTTGCTTTAAACGGAGGCTCTGGATTCAGGGAATTTATTAATGAGGCATCCACAAAGTGAGTTTTTTGTGAATCATATTGCAATTCAAAACAAACAAATAAAAACCTGAGAGGCTTACCATTATCTGTAAGTATTCTTAAAGGCTGTTAGTGTGTATGCACATCTACAACCTGGCCCCTCTGATTTGCTCCCTTGAGATGTCTCCGATCCTCCTCCTGTTCTGATGAGGTTTATTGTCCAGTTGAGAGGCTGTGAGAGGTTAGGGCAAATAAAGGAGGAAGGGAGAAATACATGATACGTTTAGAGGAAGGGATCTGTGGCTTTGGCTGCAGAATCAGGCTGGATAAAATCATGCTCTGGTGGCTTACAGATGCTATAGAATGTGGAGGAAAAAAAGAAGTCTAAAAGTACACCTCAGAGAAAAACATTTACAGTTACAAATATCCCTCCAAAGACCTCTTTTATTTTTTTTTTCCTTTTAAATTTATACCTAAGTGCTTACACAGGTTGGAATATGTAAATAGTCTTTAGAGTAGAAACAAAGTAGAGATTTTTAAAGCTGTTTATTCTCTCTCCTTTGCCCTGTTCTATTTTGAAGTTTGACGTTAGCGTCTTTTGAAAGAGAGCATATGGCACTTCTAATTAAGGCCTGTGATTTTCTGACATATAACTGAATAATACATTCCAAATACTGTTAAGCCTTCCAGATGAAAGAATTTTCAGAACTGAAGCACTGTAGCTTTGTGATATATCTTGCTGGAATACATACGCTATGTAACACTGATCTCCTTAAGAACTTTGAAGAATTTTGCATAGAATACCAGCATAGTGAGAAAAGAAAGGGTTTGTTTCTATTTTGTCTGATGTGTTCCTTGGCAACCTCAGGTTTGGATCAGATAACAACTAGTGTGCTTTGTTCCTGAAAGTATTCAGTGTAGCTTCATTTTTAAATGTTTTGGTCTGGTTGAGGATTTGTTTTATTCATCTTTTTCAGATTGTGTTTCAGACTGCAAGATTTGTTTGTGTATATTTTCACCAGTAGCTCTTGTAGAGATGCACTGTAGCTCTTCAGTCTCTCCAAAGTAATTCAAATATCTCCTTTCAGAATTTTGTGCCAAATTGTCTTCCTTTACCTTGAATGTGTGATACCTTTCTGAAATTGTGGTTTATCATAATTTTTTGTTGTGAGGCAGGTTTCTTGAGATTCTTAATATGTATCAGTACCATTAATATGTAACTTGCATCTCTGAATGGCCAATATACTCAAAATTTTTTTTCCTTGTTTCCATGGGAAGTAGAAGGGCTGCATTTATAATTGATGTCTTTGATCTGGTTAGGCAAATCAGGAGAGAAAAGAATTTTAGAAATGTAATGCACTTAATTGCTTTAACTTCTTTTAGTTTTTACCAGGCCTTGGTGGTAAGTGAAGAGATTTGCCTTTACAACTTTTTTGGTAATTTTAAAATGAAAGAAAAGTTGAGTCTTCAAATACGTTTCTTCCACTGGAACTTGATGGGTTCCTTTGGTTACTGGGAATCCTTTTATAGTGATATCAAATTTCGTTAAAATGATAAATGTGGGGTTTTTAGAACTCCATATTTCCTATAGATCTAGTGAATGTGTGCAAAACATTGGGAAACCTTAAATCAAATTTCTGGTAGGTTTATGATGAGTGTGGGTGGGTTTGTTTTGTTTTGGGTTTGGGTTTGGTGGTGGTTGTGGTTTTTTTTTGGTTTGGTGGGTTTTTTTTGTTGGGTTTTTTTTTGTTTGTTTGGGTTTTTTTACATTCTAAGTGGAAGTATTTAAATGCAGGTTGATCTTGTATTTTGGAGCCTGTAAAGCTGTACAAACATGTTGCAAGCCAAAGGATTTCACTAGTTTAATGTTAAATATGAGATACAAAGAGATTTCTGATATCCATCTCTTCTCTCAGGGCAGCATTTTTGCTGTTAATTGTCTTTGATATACAATATATGCTATCTTTGTCCTCACAGTTTGTTGTCAAATTCAAGCATTGATGGTATTTTTGTTAATGAATTGTATTTGACAATTGCTGAGACTAAATGAGAAACGTGTAATTGAAGTGAGACTGACAAGGATGAAGACTTACGAGGATAATTGTACAAGTACTGAAGATCCTTCTCTACCTGAACTACTACTGTTGTCTACATAAAGTTGGACATAAAGTGTTTAACCTACCTGAGGAATTAAAGATATTAGGTCAGCAACCAGATGTGACTGAGCTGTGTTGAAGAGAGTATCTAAGGGATTTGGGGAGCAGATGTAGCTTTGGTCCTCCTTTTTTGTTTTATTTTAGCTTCTTGAGACAGTTCAGTTCATAGGAAAGAGCAACCTTGGAGGCTGTCTAACATCTAAACTGTCTTGTCTATAGCTTCAGAGGCCTCTGAGGATTATGGGGCTGTTGCAGTGCCTCTTCTTAGGTTGTGTTTCATAGTAATGGTGCTGAGAATTGGAGCCCTGTCAATGTTTGGTGGTGCTGAAATTGTACTGTTTAATTTTCAGCAGTATATTATTCAGATAAAACTGGAAAAAGTCCAAATAGAATCATAGAATTTTTTGGGTTGCAAAAGACCTTTAAAATCATTAAGTCCAACTGTTAACCTAACCCTGCCATCCCACCACTAAACCATGTCCCTAAGCACCTCATCTACCCCTCTCTTAAATACCTCCAGGTATGGGGACTTGACCATCTCCCTGGGCAGCCCATGCCAGTGCCTGACAGCCCTTTCTGTGAAGAAATTTTTCCTAATGTCCAACCTAAACCTCCCCTGGTGCAACTTGAGGCCATTTCCTCTTGCCCTATCGCCCATTACCTGGGAGAAGAGGCTGGCCCCCACCTTGCTACAGCCTCCTTTCAGGTAGTTGTAGAGGGCGATAGGAGGCCCCGCAGCCTCCTCTTCTCCAGACTAAACAACCCCAGTTCCCTCAGCTGCTCCTCATCAGACTTGTGCTCCAGACCCCTCACCAGCTTTGTTGCTTTCCTCTGGACATGTTCCAGCATTGCAATATCTTTCTTGTAGTGAGGGGCCCAAAACTTGACACAGTATTCGAGGTGCAGCTTCACCAGTGCCAAGTACAGGGGCACGATCACTTCCCTACTCCTGCTGGCCACATTACTCCTGATACAAGCCAGGATGCTTTACATAACTTTACATGAGGAGCTGCTCTAAAGACTTAGACTGTTCAACTTACTGTGGACAGCTGCATGGACCCATAAGACACTTGGAAATTGGATTGTTACTTGAATTGGATGGTTATTTGAGCACACTATCCTGGGCTCACATTATCCCTTCTAGTTTTGTCTATTAGTCATATAAAGACATATATCCCTCCATAAGAGTTTTATTCTTAATACTTATGAGGTTTCTTTTCCATTTGAAGCATTCTTTTCTGTTCCATGCAATATGACCTTTAATGTCACAATGTTGTTTTTGCTGCTTCTCCATGAACTTGTTTCAGTAAAAAAAAAATTATTTTCTGGTTCTGAGTAGGCTTCTTGAGATCAGAGTACCATATGAGAAGAATGGCGCAGAAAGGATGCAGTGTAATGAAGTAGTGTTATCTACTATTCTTTAAAAGAGAGTTCTCTTTATGTGAAGTCTGGAGTGGATGTGGCTTTTAGATAATACTGCATTGTGAAATTTCATTAAATGGATAGCTGACAGCCTTGAATCTTCTCTCACATAATGCTTTTCTAGATCCAGCCCTTTTTCCTGTAACAGCGCTGTGAATTATTCCTTAGTCTTGTTCTCTTAAACTTTATGGTAACTTTATTAATACACTTGTTTTATCAAGTCTGCTAAACATTCTTTATGGTTCCACTAATATTTTCTATGTCTTTTTGTGGTTTTAAAACTGATAGGTGAGAAGAATTTGTCTGAGACCTAAATGTATGCATTTTTAATGTCCATTCTCTTTGATAAATCTGTGCATGCTTTTGGTTTTGTCTTGTTTGTTTTTTTTGTTTTTTCCAGAGAGCGATAATGAACTCTCCAGTGGCACTGGTGACGTGTCAAAGGATTGTCCTGAGAAGATTTTGTATTCCTGGGGAGAATTACTGGGGAGATGGTAATCCTTAATTTCTTAAATTTAGATTTTAAATACTAACCTTTAATTTGTTTTCTGAGACTGTGTGCTCTTGAGCAGGAGGTTTGAAATTCTTCGGCTTACATAGTTTAAAAACTAAAATGCAAAACATATTAAAGTTTGTTTTTTAAACCTAGTTTAAAAGGGACTGGTAAATCCTTTTATTTTACCTTGCAGTTATTTGATAAATCTCTCAAGTCTTGTTTCATTCAGTGTTTGAGAATATGTTCATGTATGTTCACGCTGCAGCTGTGAGTCTTCAAATGCAGAACTTTCTGGCCACCTATATTCCTTGGGGCTGGACGTTAAGCTCTTATTGTCATGGTTTAACCCCGGCTGGCAACTAAGCACCACACAGCTGCTCGCTCACTCCCCCCACAATGGGACAGGGAGAGAATCAGAAGAGTAAAAGTGAGAAAACTCATGGGTTGAGGCAAAGACAGTTTAATAGGGAAAGCAAAAGCCGCACACACAAGCAAAGCAAAGGAAGGAATTCAATGACCACTTCCCATGGGCAGTCAGGTGTTCAGCCATTGCCAGGAAAGCAGGGCTCCATCACGCGGAACGGTTACTGGGGAAGACAGACACCATCACTCTGAATGTCCTCCCCTTCCTTCTTCTTCCCCCAGCTTATATAATGAGCATGGTGTCATATGGTATGGAATAGCCCTTTGGTCAGTTTGGTTCAGCTGTCCTGGCCGTGTCCCCTCCCAGCTTCTCATGCACCTGGCAGAGCTGAGAGCTGAGAAGTCCTTGGCCAGTCTAAGCACTACCCAGCAACAACCAAAACATCAGTGAGTTATCAACATTCTTCTAGTACTAAATCCAAAATACAGCACAATACCAGCTACTAGGAAGAAAATTAACTCTGTCCCAGCTGAAACCGGGAGACTTATGAAACTCAGTGCCTCTCTGTGCTAGGATAGAGAAGACAGAGTGACTCCAGTCTGTCCTGTCTTAAGTCATTTGTGCTAGCTGATGTACATTTAATTGATTGATTTGTTTAGAGGCACCTTTTTTTTGTGCTACATGTATGTACTTGAAAAGGAATTCTAGAAAGACTCTGATCCTGACTGTAACTGTCTGTTTGAGTAAGATGAATATTTGTAAGCCTAGAGTATGTTCTTAACAGTGTTATTTCTGTGGTTTAATTAAGTGCTTCAGTAGCAGTGTATACTTTGCCAAGAGAGGAAAATGTCTATGTATTTGCTACCTCCGAAAGACCTCAGTAGTATTAGCAAATGCCAGAACCACTTACTTGGTTTTCCCTTTGTATGTAGTAGCTCCTGCTGTGTAAGGCAAAAATAACCAGAGGCCCTTAATCTGGAATTGGCAAAGTTTTGTTTTCCTAACTCCAAAAAGAGAGCTGAAAAACATTTTGACGATTTATCTGGGCAATTCCCCCCTTGGCCACTTTGTAGCTTTGGAGCTACACAGCTTCTTGCTGCTGACCTCATCTTTAATGGGTATTTCATGCAAAGGTTACTAAATGAGACATCACAAGAAGTTACTGAGCTTAATGGAACCCTTTGCTTTGGAACCCTTCCCTCCTGCTTGTTTTGTGGTGCTTTGTCATCCAAGTTTCTGGCTTTAGGGAAAGATCTTTTTGGGGAAGCATGAATATTTAATGGAATGATTGTACAAATATTCTGGCTATGGATCCTCTGAGTGATTAAGAAAATATTGAGGAAAACTGTGGAAGTCAGTTGATCTCTATAGACAAGTGTGTTTTCCTCACCTGAAAAGGCTGTAAACAGATCCACTCTGGGGCTGTTTAGAACTTTCAAAAGTCTGTTCTAAAGGACTTACCAAGAGAGAATTCATAAGTTGTCTGTAATTTTATATCTGCACCCCAAGGGCAATGAAGAAAGCCATCCTGAGTCCATAAAGAACTGTGTGGCAGGTTTGTTTCAATCTGCATCTCATTGCATTGGAAGATGTTACTTTTAATTTTTTTTTTTTTATTGTTGTTTAATTCATCTGTCAGTTGACTCTTTTAGTTTTAACTTTTGCCCTTTACAAGTATCTGGACTCCTGTAGATAAGCCTGCTGAAGTGAAGAAACGCCCACAGCTCATTTGCTTGAGTTTTGCATAACCAAATGTTTCTTCAGGTTACTCAAGTATGCTATTCAATGAGACATGTCACTTAAGACTTTTGGAGTAAACCGTTTTGAAGTTCTAACGTAAATTTATACACTTAACTCAGAGAAACATTTAGTAGTTAAAACACTTTAGTTAAAATGAGTTAAAAATGGAATAAGAAATGGGAGATCGCAGCCAGCTTGAAGACTAGCAGTACCAAACATTTTCTTTAGGAGTGTCTCAAGCAGTATTACCTTTTGAGGTAAATTGAAGTGTATAAGATACTTGAATTCTTGAATAGTGTTATGTTGCATTTGAAGAACAAAACTTGGAAAGAGTAACAGATGAAAAAAATTAACAATTTGAAAACTAAAAATAGATTGAAATATAATCTTCTAGTGTGTTGAAAACTGCAGCATATGCTAGTGGAATATCTGTGCACTTGTAAAAAAAGTAAATAAATAAAAATTAACATTTCCACTTGAAGAATTGGTGTGCTGATTTGTCTCAGATGAAAAATATCTTACATTTTAATTGTTTCTTTTAATTTCATTAAAATGTCACTGTAAGC